AAGATTCTGGTAAATTTCTTTCTTTCTGTCTTTCCTTTTTTTGTTGTTTTACTACACCTTTCCCAGAAACATTCATTATTTTTTATTCTTTCAAACACGTGTATCCAGATACATTTTCTGGATCAATTTGCCAAGAAAGAAAAAAAACGCAGTTTGATTTTGTACTTTGTTCTTTCTCGTAGAAACTAAAATGAATGAACCATAATTTATTTTAGATAATAAAAAAAAATAAATTCCACTTTCATTCTTGTTTGTCTTTACTTCTTTGATTTGTTATTTTAGGTTGAATTAAAATTGTAAAATATAAAATTATACGGTAATGAAGCTATTTTTATTCAGTTTCAATCATCAAAATTGAGCTGGTATATAAATGTACTTTAGACAATAGTCTACTGATCAATAGATCAGATGTTATTGCTATTACTTGCTTACTTACTTACGCCTGTTACCTACAATAGAGCATAGACCGACGATCAGCATTCTCCAACACAACATGTTTAGAGACTTTTATTCCAGTTCTATCCAATTGTTGTTCATTCTTCTCATGTCTGTTTACATTTCTCGGTGTATTGTGTTCTTTGGTCTTCCTCTTTTCTTTCGACCTTGAGAATTCCATGTGAGGGCTTGTTTTGTGACGCATTTGGGTGATTTCCTCAATGTGTGTTCAATCCACTTCCAATGCTTCTTCCTGATTTATTCCTCCGTTGGAATCTGGTTTGTTCTATTCCAAAATAGGTTGTTGTTGATAGTGTTTGGTCAACGGATTTGAAGTATTTTGCATAGAAAATTGTTAATAAACACCTGTATCTTGTGGATGATGGCTTTCGTAGTTATCCAAGTTTCTGCCCTATACAGTAGAGCTGTGTTCACATTTGTATTGAAAATCCTGACCTTAGTGTTGGTTGACAGAGAGTTGTTTTGAGTTCCAGATGTTCTTACTATTATTATATTGAATTTCTTTTAGTATTTATTTGGTAATTTACAAATTTGATTACTTCATTAACTCAGCTATTTTAACAAGTGAAATGTTTATGCAATATGTTACTTGTTAAAAACTGAACAACCTTCAAGTAGATTAGGTTATCACAATTGATTGATCACTGTGTGACGATCAATGTCATACGTTTCTAGTCCTTATTAGTGCAGATCGAATGCTATCGATCATGTTGCAATGTGGCCACCAGTCTAGGTGACTCGACATTGCGGGTACTATATATTGAAATTAGATGGTGGTTGGAGGTAGTCGACAGGAAACCCTGGATTCGGGTTTCGTGCTACTTAGCACTCGTCAGGGAATTGGTGCTCCCTGGGTCCAGGGTTTCCTGTCGACTACCTCAAACCACCATCTAATCTCAAGATTAGGTTGTAAATAATTTCCAGGTGAATAAGCCTTTAGTTGTTTCTTCAGAGTTTAATTCAAATGAAGATGTAGCGTTAATATTCAATCTATATCAAATAAGAAGATAATCTAATTGTAACCAAGTAAATGATTTATAACTTGAGTTTATTTATAATCATACTTTTCATGAATTAAACCCGATGCATTCTTTGTATTCTGAAAAAACAACATACTAATTTATGATTGAGATCATGAACCGATTGATGTTTGACCACCTTTGGAAACCTGGAAGCACTGGACGGCCGTTTCGTCCTATTGTAGGACTCCTCAGCGGTGCGCATCCACGATCCCGCTCACGGGATTCGAATCCAGGGCCTTCGGTCTCGCGACTAACCAACTGAACCACTGAGTCGGCATCCAGTGATGATAGTGTCCAATTTATGCTCATCAACACTTCTTAATTCTTTTTCTGTTAAATTTGTATTCTAGTAATTTCATAGGATTCTATATTTGTAGTCAATAGATAAGGGGGATGTTGTAAAATGTTGGAATCTTCATGATCATGACAGATCAGTCACTGTTATCCATCTTTCCCAGCTATTTTTTTTATTCATGTTCAACAGACAATATTTGTAGATTAAACAGTTCATTCTTTTGATGTGGATTGAGAAACACACCATGTGTTGCTGTGACAACATAACAAAAGTTTATGAATCTAAAATAGGACTTGTTTTTAAATATGGATCCGTCGAATTGACAGGGAAGTTTAATTTGATTACTGTGTGTTTTCTAAATTATTGTTTGAAAAACAGTTGACATACTACTCTATCATGTATGTATCCTCAAATTTAACACAGTAATATGGTGAGTTTATAGTCAAGCAAACAAATCAGATTGGAAATTTAACGTCTTATGGAGTTAATACTTACTTACGCCTGTTACTCCTCGTGAAGGATCATAGACCGCTCACCATCATTCTCTATCCAACCCTGTCCTGGGCTTTATGGAGTTATAACAAAGTAAGTTTTTGTGAACTTCAAAATAGATTTCAGTTTATCGATTTGAATGAACAAAACTTTAAGCTTGATGAATATATTATATGACGATGAAAGGATTGTATTTTTCGGACAGTATCAGACAGGAACTTGAGTACTATTAGATTAACAACTCATTATTGTTGTAGTGAACAAAAACAACAGTGATAACAATCAAATATATGTGTTGTGGATGCGGAGGAATAGAGCAATAATTATCATGTTAAGTCCAATGGTGTCCTTGGACTTTAAATGGATATTTTCTATTGGTCGATATCTGTTCACTTGTTGCATATTGTACAAAATGTTGTTTTCTATTTTATGGTACGATGTGGTATGCTTGATTGGTATATAAACAAAGTATGTTTGAAATATAGTGATTCATAATTCCGAGGCTGTGACTTGTGTTCTGGACTCAACTAACTGGGCTAGACAGGGAAGCGAGACCAATCGAGACTCTAGGCCGTCCGTTCGTGTTTACGTGACACTGTGATCGATCGATAGGTACGCTGCTCTCTAATTTTTCCAGTCAAGGACACAACAATTAGCACAGGGTAAAAATCGACCGCAACATAAAGCCATAACAATATGTGAATACAAACTTACACAATATCTTATTAAAATCTGAGAACCATACAGTAAATAATTCATTTGCTAAATATCCCTCAATAGTCTCAGACTTGACTGTTCCTTTTGTAAATGTCTATCAATCGTCTCAGACTTTATTGTTCTTTCAATTCCACGTCAATCATTCATTGTTCTTTTCCTCTTTTCTTTGATCTTCTTAACCTTCTGCCTATAGACATTTCACTTTTGGACTGATGATACATACTACTTGTTTGTGTGAACATCAGTAGCAAACATCACATATTGACTACATTGAAATCTCGATATGCTATTTGATTGTATTTAGATTAAATCCCTGTGGAAATTAAACTTGAAACTATTTCTACTAATCTATTTCTAACAAATCCATAAGCCTTAGAGTAATAACATTTCCAATGGGTTGTGTTTTTTAAAATCAGAGATGGGTTTTTTTTGTGGAGATTGTAGTAATTTAATAGTTGAATTCATGAGTCAATTGAAGTTAGACCACCATGGAAAAAGTGAATATACGATAGGATTCAATCATGCATTAGTCTTTTAAAAGAAGACAAATAAAACCATACCCAATCAATGATCTGTAGCAATTATCTTAAAACCAATTTCGATTATGGTTGATTTTGATGAAACTCTTTTAATTTACTTAACAGACAATGTTACTTGAACAGTAACAGTTCGCATATTTTTTGTATTGTTATAATCACTGGAGTGCATGACAAAGTTTAGTTTAAGTGATTGATTACTTAAATATCACTCGATGGTTCATCCTTCTCCCTATGTATGTATGCGTAGTGAACAGAACACAAGTGGGGACAATCGAATGTATCTGACTCAAAATTACAGGACTTGTTGATAGAATCTAACAATCATAAAGTAAATGCTTAAGTTGCAAAATGTCAACCAATTGTCTCAAAATGACTCAGACTTCATTGTTCTTGCATTTTCATACAAATTGCATTCTGTTTCTATTCTTTACTGTTCGATGCTCATGTCTCTCTGCTGCCAGACCTTCTGTTCACGACTTACATCAAATACTACTTATGTCAATATAAGTAGCACACACCACATGTGTACTCAGATTCTATTATTAGCTTTTACTTTAACCTTGCTGAGCCCTTATGCAATTTGACTATAAATTTGCCCATATATTTATTCGCCTCTCCAGTTCAAATTCGGTCGATGTGCTTATAGTTTTATGATCAGCACTACCCCGTGATATACTCTAGTTGCCGTTTCTCATCGCATTCTGATTTGAAACACCGTTATGATTTTTATAATGACGGTTACAATGGTGATGAATTAACGAAGGAAAACCACTACACAGCAATTCGAACATAGTTACCCCACCCTTCTTGTGGGAAGGCAACATCGCTGTTATGCTGGTTGTCTAAAGGAAACACCTTTCTGCTGTACAGTCAAAAGTATGAATTCGACTTTGGACCTTGGGTTTGTTGCTTTTAGTCTTACCGTTCTTCAATCAACCTGTCTGGCATGGTAGGACATTGAGAAACGATTGTTTCAGCCAGTATAGTTCGATTAGTTCATCACGATATGCAAGCCCGACCACTACGTCAAGGTACGAACAACGGTTGTGATAGTGATCATCACTTAGTACCGTTACTCTATTAAACTTGTTTTTTTTTACCTTAAGTGTAAATAATTCAAATAAGATTTTATTACACTGTGTTATTACATCATACCATGCATTAAATGTACACAAACAAACAAACAAAAAACAGATTAAAAAGGAAATGTGTTACGTAATCATGCAAGGGATGTAATAAAAAAGGAAAAGTACCTGTCAGCCTATTTACAGTCAAAATGAATAAATAAATAAATAAAAGTAAAATCCTTTAAAATGGAAAAACTTTTTTGGTATCCAACTCTGCGAATCGACTTGTCAAGATTCAAGAGGAAAAGTTGAAAATGTGCGCATGGATACATAATCATGAATTATTATTATTATTATTATTATTATTATTATTATTATTATTAGTAGTAGTAGTAGTAGTAGTAGTAGTAGTAGAGGAGGAGGAGGAGGAGGAAACACTATACAAAGTCTTTTCACTCTATGAGTATAAGTTAGTATGTCTCATTACATAATGTTCCGTATGGATTATTATAAAAATTATAATGATCATTTGTTTGAATACATTATATCGAATAGAAACTGAATACTAACCAGTCTTATTATAATTAATATGATTGGTAGTATTAATAGTAGTAGCAATAGTCGTAGTAGTACCATCAGTAGTATTAGCAGTATTAGTAGCAGTAGTAGTGGTGGTAGTATTAGTAGTGGTGGTGGTAGTGGTAGTAGTAGTAGTAGTATTAGTAGTAGTAGTATTAGTAGTAGTAGTATCATTAGAACTATAAAAAATGAATATATATGTTAATAGAATTTGAAATATTACAATAATTTACAATCATTACATAATATTACTGTATACAAATAGTTTTTTTCTTTGGTAATGGAGGATTCAATGTAAATCCTTTGACACTAAAATCATCCTCTGAATTCTCTATCCATTGTATATCAAGATTTCGATAATTTTGAAAAGAATCAGATAATTGATTATGAAATTTATCTGTTATACATCCATTGCGTAATGTATTAGGCTTTGAATTGGTGGTATTTAATAATTTGACCAAATGACACTGATAGAATTATAGAGAATAAAGAAGATGACAATGATGAAAGGTAACACATTACTTTCTTATCGAACAAGTCAACTTAAAGAATAATACATACAATCAATTATAAGATATACATATCAAATGGGATAGATGGTAAGTAAGTGTACTATGGTGTATGACACTTATAGTCGATATATAAGTAGTTCTTTGGTAGAATGTGAAAACCATAAGTTCAATACTTCATTTACAAATCTCCTATCAATTATCTCAAAATTCTTTCATTGCTATAATGATTACTCTCTGTCCCCGTTCTCTTTGATTCGATCTTTATAACTTCCTGATACTAGGCATTCCCAATTGAAGCTGGGTGACACGAGATCGAGTTCGCCACGGAGCACCAGTTCCCTCAAGGTTACAGGTACACCTTGCTGACGAGTGTCAAGTAGCACGAAACCCGGGTCGTCAGAGTTTCCTGTCGACTATCTCCAATCACCATCTAACTATGCATTCCCTTTCTGATTGGTCTTATATACTACTTATGTCAACATAAGTAGCATACACCACTCTAGTATGTATTTAGTGTTAAGTGATTATATATATTAAATATCTTATTGTTCCTAAGGCTCATAAACCGATAGAAAAGAATGATCGTTGAACAATGAATGGCGTAGAAAATGTGAACAAATAGTTTGAATGAATGCTGTTCTAGTTGTCGGTTTATACTGTGCATCAATCAGTCAATCAACTTAGTGACTAGGTTTAGTTGAAACATGAAACAGTGAGAAATTACAAACAAATGTCTTGTATTACTTGACTTTTTAATAGTTCGTTAAGTTAGTTTTACTCTTTGACCAATCTTATAAACAGTACGGATAAAATCACTTTTGTTTTAACTTGATGAATGCGATATCAAATTACTAAGCACAATTTCAATTCAATATGTATTTGCTGTTGCAAGAGACTGCAGCGTTGTACAGATTTATTACTGAAAAGTAACTAACGTCAAATATTTCTAGGCCTTAGTGATGGTCAAACTCTGTTGATTAGGTTGCAATATGGTCATAAGTCAAAGCGAATTCATAACGCGTGCACATTCTTGAGATGTTAGGTGTTTGGACGTCGATGGTGGAACACCCTATACCTAGGTTATGTGATAATAGGTACATTGTAGCCGAATGTATCTGTAATCTTGAGGGAACTGACAAACCGTGATGGATTCCTCTTTACATAACCCAGCTTCACAGACTGAGATGTTAACAATCAGTTATTGAGGTGGCAATAGATTCGATTACCGATAAGGATTAAACAAGGATAAAATCAATTTGTCTTTCAATCTCACATAAGGTCAGTTACAGTTCAAATAGCCATGTGATAATGTCTCACTATGTGGAATTGTCTGATATTACTTCGAATCCTGTTGAAAGGATTGAATCTCAAAAGTTTTAAGATAGGCTGTTATGAAACCTAAGTCCAAAGTTTACTGCCAATTTCCTTTAACTACAAAACATTGATTGAAGCGCTTTTTTGGTCTATACCCTTGGCATAGCAAGGAAAATTAGCAAAATTTAATTGCACATGTGTAGATTTCTATGCCTTTGATGTAAGATGACTAATGCCATGCTTAAAACAAAAACTAGAAAATAAGTAAAGAGCTAAAAATGTTCACATTAATCAAATGTTTATCTAATATGAATCTTAATAACTTCCCACGAATCTTTTTTTTTGAAGAATCCCTTCACTTATCAATCGGTTGTTTAACTTCGGACAAAATATGATGAATCATTTCCCCCAATAACGATCTGTTCATTTAATCATTGTTTAGTGTCGAACAATAATAAGTCTATCTTCATCAGATACATGCATTTACTTTTATTTGAGTTGTATCAACTACAATTCGATGGAGGGGGGGCGAAAACGTCAACATCTGAGCGGAAGCATGGGATACAGTGGACAGTTGGTATGCAGTTGGACGATCTAGACTTCGTAAATGATCTGGTTTTTCTATCTCATACTCAACAACAAATACAGAAGAAGACGACCAGCGTAGCAGCAGCCTCAGCAGCAGTAGGTCTCAACATACACAAAGGGAAAAGCAAGATTCTCCGATACAACAAAGCGTGTAACAATCAAGTAACACTTGACGGAGAAGCTTTGGAGGATGTAAAAACCTTTACATATCTGGTAAGCACCATTGATAAACACGGTCGATCTGATGTAGATCTGTTTCCGATCCCCAACCAAGTGTGTTCTTTGACCTTCCTCATTTCGTTTCCCCTCAGAATTCCGAGTTAGCACTTGCCTCCTGATACAGTTTGATGATTTCCGTAATATATGTCGTATCCACTTTCAACGTCTTTTCCTGAATTCCTTTATAGCTGGTAGCTGGTTTGTCTTTTCCCACAGTAGGCTGATGACATCCTTACTTACTTACGCCTGTCACTCCTCGTGAAGGAGCATAGACCGCTCACTAGTATTCGCCATCCAACCCTGTTCTGTACAGTACTTTCCAGCTCCTTCCAGTTGTTATTCATTCTTTTCATATCTGCTTCTATTTCCCGACATAATGTGTTCTTTGGCCTTCCTCTTTTCCGCTTCCCTTCAGGATTCCAAGTTCGAGCTTGCCTTGTTATGCAGTTTGATGATTTGCATAATGTATGTCCTATTCATTTCCATTGTCTTTCCGAATTTCCTCTTCATCTGGAAGCTGGTGTGTTCTCTTCCATAAAAGGCTATTGCTGATGCTATTCGGTCAATGGATGTTGAGTATCTTGCGTAGAAAACCATTTATAAATACTTTTACATTCTTGATGATGGTTGATGTAGTTCTCCAAGTTTCAGCTCCGTGTAGTAGAACTGCCTTGACGTTCGCATGGAAGACTGTGACTTTGAAATTGGTTGACAGTTGTTATTAGTTCCATTGTAGTGTCGCTTACTGTGTTAAGCCCATATAACTTATTCTAGCTACTGGACAGACCAATCTATTCGTTCTTTTTGAGTCATAGTTTGACCTTGTTAATTATTCACTTTTTACATAAATGTATGTGTGCACAATGTATCCTATTCATCACATGTCTAAAGCTTATTTTTGTGTGACTATACATATTGATTTACGGTTGATTAAAAGGATTTGGCTTCCTCTCCTTCTCCACTGCGCGTCGTTTTACTTCACTCTCGTCTCTGCGCTTCCTTTGCTTCGTCCCTCTGATTGTCTGTCCAGATGAATGAGTGTGCAAAATATGTGCATCCGAAAATCCATTTTCGTATTCGACTTATATATTTCCGTTATTCAACGACGTGAGTTAAGTTGATAATTTTATAGGAGAATAGGCGACATGTGTATTTCAATAACAATCATTCACACAATCTAATTGGAGTCAAATATAGGACCACTAAATCATATGTTCTTCATTTGTAGGAATGCGGCTCTTAGGTGTCTGAAGACTCAGTGATACCTTTCCGTTGTTCAATCAGAATAGATGAAGTAATGAGTGTGAAACCAGAACAAAGACTCTTTATATGGATTTCAGATAACAGTCTCTTATATGTTGTTAAACTAATTGATAGAGAAAAAAACTAGGAAAGTTTTGGGTTGTTGTCATTGTCTCCTTGTCATTTCTGCCTAGGCTCTTGCCATTGACTAAAACACTAACGAAGTAAAAGATGAATACTGTCGAACGCTTTATGATTATCTTCAGAAAACCAAACATTCAGATATTAATAATGACTTGAGATCTTAGAACCTAATTAAATAGCCAGCGTTAGATTGAAAGATCAATAATCTAGTTTTTTAGTATCTTAGCACAATGGTAATGATGACAATCTGTTATATCTATTCTCATGCAACTGTCTATGGTTGGTATAAATCAATAACCCAATAACTTTAGACCACTAAAAACGTTTGTTGCACGGATAAATTCTAACCGTAATACATCCAGTTTTCATACTATCTATGTCAATAATATTTAAAAACAAAACTAAAAAGGAGTAAATTTTACCTTGAAATTTTCATGACGAAAAATAAATTTAGATTCACGACCAAATAGTTCATCTTCAGCAAATTTACATTCTTGTAAACAATAACAAATTACAATTGTAGATAGTATATGCTATGGAATAGAAAGAACAATGTCAGGTAAAGTGAATTATAGCTAACAAGGGAAAGAAACTAAGACTATCATTATGTTATATTCGATATTTAACTTCTGATTTTATCTACACTTTGTAGTATCAATGATCAAAATGGAACTCAGAAACATAAGAAACTGGTAATGTGCCACCGTTCACCATTGTCTTCAGTGAGTTACTATCTCATAATAGACCTAAATGAAGTTAGACATTAACATCACCGGATGTTGGCATAATGGTCTAGAGCTTTAGCGTTCGCGTTCCAGACCAACATGTCCTGAGTTCGAAGCCCGATAGCGGAATCGTGGATGTACACTGCTGAAGAGTCCCATACTATGACGAAACGACCGTCCGGTGTTTCTGAGTTTTCCATGGTGGTCTAGCTTTAGTGGACTCATGAATCCAACTACTGAATTACTACAATGTCCACAAAAGCCCCTTCTGTTAAAAAACTGCTAATATGCTGTTCAACGAGTAAATAACTCCGTCTAACCATTAACTTATTAAATGGGTATGATGTTTTTAAAGAAAATCTCTGCAATATTATTCATAATCTATCTGTTCTAAATAACTTTTGATATAGTGACTTAATCGAATCAGTATGTACAGTGGTGCACCTATACCAACTAAGAGATAATCAAAATTCATTCCTGAATATCAATAACCAACCAACTCAAACACTCACTAAGATAAATATTGCCTAGTAGTGAAATCCATGACGCACGTTTCATCTTATTTGGGACTCGTCCTATGGATATGCCTACATCCCAGAATCCTGGAATTCACTCCAAGTCTCTAACCTAGTACCATTCAATTGAAACATCATTGCGTTATCTACTTAGTTAAAGTAATTATTTAAACTGTTTTGTACATTGTATTTCAATTTGCTAGTGAAAGTTATTTGAGTTAAAACATCTTCAAATCGTTTTGCTTAAACAATAAAGCACATGTGTATGCAATACTTATTTGAAATTAATATCCAAGATTAAATCATTTAATTCAACTGATAGTTATGAAATGGACATTGTTAGATCAAGTGTATATTAAGAATTTATAAAGAAAATGGATAATTTTATGTTTATAGGGGTGTTGATACTAAAACTATTAGCTATCTGTAACACCAGAATAACAGTCATCTTACTTACTTACTTACGCCCGTTACTCCCAATGGAGCATAGGCCGCCGACCAGTATTCTCCAACCCACTATGTCCTCCGCCTTCTTTTCAAGTTACATCCAATTCTTGTTCATTTTTTTCATGTCTATTTCCATTTCTCGGCGTAATGTGTTCTTTGGTCTTCCTCTTTTCCTTTGGCATTGAGGATTCCATGTGAGAGCTTGTCTTGTGACGCAGTTGTGTGCTTTCCTCAATGTGTATCCTATCCACTTCTAATTTCTTCCACCGCTGGGATCTGGTTTGTTCTCTCCCACAGTTGGTTGTTGCTAATAGTGTCCGGCCAATGGATCTGAAGTATTTTGCGTAGACAACTGCTAATAAACACCTGTATTTTCTGGATGATGGATTTCGTAGTTCTTCAGGTTTCTGCCCCATACAGTAGAACTGTCTTGACATTTGTATTGAAAATCCTGACCTTGGTGTTGGTTGACAGTTGCTTTGAGCTCCAGATGTTCCTCGGTTGTAAATATGCTGCTCTTACTTTGCCGATCCGCGCCTTCACATCTGCATCAGATCCACCGTGTTCATCAATGATGCTGCTCAAATATGCAAAGATTTTTACATCTTCCAAATCTTCCCCGTCAATTGTGATTAGATTGGTACAGCCATTTTAGAATTTCATATTTCTCATGGAACTACTAAACTAAAATATCTAATTAAGGTTTAAATTTTATTCCATTGAAATGTTTCAATCGTCTATGTTTCATTTTCTTCTTTTAATGACTGAACTCTGTGTTGTCTCCTTTAGAATATCAATATAGGGTTGTGGAGATTATTATGTTTTTCATTGAGATCAGGAACCGATTAATATTAGACTACCATTGAAAACTTGTAACCACTGGACGGCCGTCTCGTCCTATTGTGGGACTTCTCAATAGTGCTCATCCACAATCCCGTTCGCGGGACTAACTTTGTGAGAAGCCGTGACCAATGGAGCTAATCCATGTCGGGTAGAGACAGGTATCTACTTCAGTTCAATAGAAGACGGTCGCGCAATTTTGCAGATTGATTGAGGTTAGACAATAACACTGTTAGATTCCGGCCGGCTCAGTGGTTTGGAGATTAGGCGTCCGCGCACGAAACTGGAGGCCACAGGTTTGAATCCCGCAAGTGAGATCGTGGATGTACGCTGCTGAGGAGTCCCACAATAGGACGAAACGATCGTCCTTTAAAATACTCAACACCTTACCTTTAAGCTTAATTTCTATAATAACTAATATATCCGTTTACCATTCAACTCAGTTTCTAAAGTATTCAAAATGAATCATTAATGAGGTATACATCAACTTAACTATCATAACTGTCCGAAAGTGAAATTATTACATAATCACTTCATTTTCAATTTTAAAAAACAATTTATGATTGTAGACATTTTTATATTCAGTAGTTTTAAGTAGTTTATCACACACAAAACAAACTAATATAAGAGCATTACTTACTTGTAAAGTGGCAAGTATAACACTTGAAATAAAATAACAAAATACAAATGAGATAATTGCTATGATAGGAAATGCAATTAATGTTGGCGGTCTCTAAAAATTAAAACAAAATGAATACAAAACAAAACAAACTTCATCGTTTTACCACTTATAAAATGAAGAAAATAAAAGTTGATGAGTCACTGTTATAATTATATATATAAAACGAAATATTTCAGGATGGAAATAAATACATTTATAGCTTGAATGGTTGAGATCATGAGTCAATTCAAGCTAGACCACCATAGAAAACTTGGAAGTACTGGACGGTCACTTCGTCTTATTGTGGGACTCCTCAGCAATGTGCATCTATGATCTCACCTTGCGAGATTCAAACCCGGAACCATCAGATCACTGAGCCGTACGGCATCCAACGGTGTTAATGTCTAACTTCAACTAATCCACGAAATTGAGTGACATATCCACCATTGTCTTCACTGAATTACTACCTCACAACAGATCTGGTTGAACTATTCTGGTCACTGCTTCTCACATTTATAATTACCAAAAAGGAGTTTTATAGAGATTGTAGTAATTTAATAGTTACATTCATGAGTTAATTAAGGCTAGACTACCGTGGAAAACGTGAAAGCGCCAGACGGTCATTTCGTCACATTATGGGATTCCTCTGCAGTGTACATCCACGATACTCATTGCAGGATTCAAACTCAGGACCTATCGGTCTCGCGCACAAACGGTAAACCTTTAAACCATTGTACCGGCATCCGTTGGTGTTAATATCTAACTTCAACCAATCCACCAGCATTTTGCCACCGTCAGTTACTACCCCGCAGCGGACCAGGTTGAACTCTCATAGTCACTTGAAATGCCGTCATATATAATGATGAAATCAAACAGAATTTCTTACTTGTCATCGTTTATTTTTGTATCAGAATTTGTTCAAATAAAAAAATACTTAACTTGGTCAAATCTTTAACTAAATCACAGATTCTATGATCAAAATAGGGTTTTACCAGTGGGATAGAAATCTAATTAAAGTATATAAATACAATTACTAATCATAGGTATGTTGATTGTTGAGAAAGTTAGGTATTATGTAAAGTTATTTCAATGGATTTGTCCAATAAAATCTCGCTTGTTATATCACCCTTAGAAAAATACAAGTCTTAGGTATAGAGTTGTTCATTATTAGTTTCTTTTTTGAAATAACTAAGATATTCATTTTGTAGTACAATCACGTTTATGGAGTTTTGTTCTTTGAGCTGGATGATTTAGTCGTGAAGCCTTCATTGTTCTTCTGAACAACATCATCAGTATATACTTTAGGGTAGAAGTGCTGAACATTTTATAGACAAACTTACCATCTTTTACTACTTATTATTTACTTCAAGATGTTATATCTAGAGCTTAGATTTTTAACATACCGCGTACAACTAAAGCACTCGAATGCTAGAACCCTTCAAATGAGAAGATAGAAGACAAGCGAAAGAAACGCTATTTGAAAACAGTGTCAATTATGGTACAAAACTATCAGGCATTTATAGTTTTTTTTTCTTTTAGTAAAAACCTAATTCATCATTATAGTCCTCCAGTCCGCATCTGTTCAATAGGGAAGCTACGCATAGAGATTCTTGAATACTCTTCCAAAAGTTGATTAAATGAAATATCTTCTGTTCTTTCTTTTAAAACTTCTTCAAGTTCACTCGTTGGTCATCTTCACAACAAAAAAAGCGGGGTCATGGATGCGTACTGCTGAGGAGTCCCACAATAGGACGAAACGGCCGTCCAGTATTTCCAGGTTTCCAAAGGTGTCCTAGCTTCAATTAACTCATGATCTCAACTGTTGAAATTACTACAATCTCCACAAAACCTCTTCTGATACTAATCAACATATACACACTAGTGACTGGTTTCAAGAGGTATATGCTGGAGTTCTAGTGAGAAGCAGTGACCAGTCGAGTTCAACCGGGTCAGTTGTGGATTAGTTGAAGTTAGGCATTAACACCGTTGGATACCGGCTGGCTCAATGGTCTAGTTGGTTAAGCGCCTGGCGCAAGACCGATAGGTCCTGCGTTCGAATGTTGCGAAGCGGGGTTGTGAATGTGCACTGCTGAGGAGTAGTAGGCCGTCCAGTGCTTTCAGATTTTCTATGGCGGTCTAGCTTCAACTGACTCATGATTTCAATTGTTGATATATCTTTTATTGTTATTCAATTATCAGATTAACTTTCAATAAGGAATAACAATCAGTAGGCTATAGAATATTCCATTCAATTACTACTGTTATAACTTGTACAAAGTATTTAAAACTACAATTTTTATAGACATGTGATTACTTCATTTCATTCAATTCACAAATTAATTAAATAATGATTAATTATGTAATTGATAAAATACAAAAATCTTGGATGATTTTTCTTCCTTTTCTTTCCTCTTCTTCTTCTTCTTCTGAATTTCATAATAAAATATGATTAATTAGTTATTTCGAAATAAATTAATTTATTTATAAAACTACAATGTACAATAATTAGATAAGATCACTTTAGTGGTTGTGAAGATTGTTAAGCTTTTGATTGAAATCATGAACTGATTGATGTTAGACCACCATTGAAAACCTGAAAGCACTGGACAGCCGTTTCATTCTATTGTGGGACTCCTCAGAAGTGCGAATCCACGATCCCGCTTGCCGGGATTCCAACCCAATAGTGATCTAACATCAATCGGTTCATGATTTCAATCAAGAATTAGATAAAAACATTGTTAGCTATCGACTAAGTGATTTAGAGGTTAAATGTTTGTGTGCACGCGAATTGATAGCTTCTGAGTTTGAATCCTACAAACAGATGTACACTATTCAGGAGTCCCGTACTAGAATAAAACGACTAACTATCGAATACCTTCAAGTTATCCATGATAATCTAGTTCCAATTACTTCATGAGTTCAACTAATAAATTACCACAACCCCCCCCCTTTCTGATAATAACTTTGAATGTTTACTTCCTAAAGTAGTAATAATAATAATGATAAATGTTTACATATAATTCAATGATAATTGCTAACTGTTTTTTGTACAACTTTGTTTATATTTATATATATCTCTGTTGTGATGACATATTTTATTATTTTTTTTCGAATAGTTAAATTCGTTTCTTTTCTTGTTCTGCCCGCGCTATTTATTTTCTGTTCAATTTTCAAGTTGTTTCTTCCCCCTGATGTGATCAATGGTAATATGAATATTAATAATAATAATAAGAGGCAGCGGTAGGGAATGAAAGGTGTTGTTCATTTGTATACATCATGTGGCGTTATGATAAATATATGAATATGTTGAATAGGGGAACAATAGTTAATAATAATAATATTATTATTATTATTATTACAAATTCTCTTTATCTAAAATGGTAATGACATAACATAGTTACTTCTTATCATATAACCACCTCCCACCCCACCCCCTCAAAAAACCTGTCATTCACGTTAGAAACCAAGCAAAATATGACAAATAGTTAAATATTGGCAACTAGAGTTAAACAGAAGGGAAATTATAGAGAAATATAGAGAAGAAGAAAAAAAGAAGAAAAAGGAGAACAATTAATAATCGAAAGAAAAAAAACACACACAACAGATTGTTGAATAAATGTGTTAATTGTATGTTCTAATTGTGATCCCATGAATAAATTCAATTCATATTTGATCAACTTATCAGTTGATTTTTATTTATTCAAAGATTTAACGTTTTTGAAGGATTGATGGTGTTGGTTACTATGCTAAGCCTATAATATTAACTTATTCTAGATTTTGGACAAGTCAATTTATCCATTGTTCTTAAGGGACATTTCGATTTTGTTAATTATTCCACTTATCAACCTTGAGTGTTTTTTTATATGAGCGTGTGTGAGTGTGTACAATGCTTATCCTATTCACTACATGTAACTTATTTTTATCTGGCTATAAATATTGATTAACGCTTGATTAAAAGGAGTTGGTTCACATGCCTTCTTCACTGAGCATTGTTGTGTTTTGTTCCTTTGATCGTCTGCCTGAATCAATGATTGTACAATATACATATATATCAATAACGCGGGTTAAATCGATGAAATATACGAGGATCACCGACATGTGTACCTCAATAACATTCATACAATCCAAATGGAGTCAGACATCAGGTCATTAAAGATTCATTTAATGATCATATAATTTTGGACATGATAAATTGATATCAGTTGAAGAATAACTTAAAACAAGACTGTACTAGTTATGTTCTCACTCACAAATCCTCATTGGAAAGAATAAAGACTCTTCAGTTCAATAGTGTATTAGATAGCTGAACGTCAGTGTTAGATACATTTTTTAGATTTTATGACACTTATAATGTATTCAGATTTTTTTCTCGAATTGTTGTCTTACTACTGAATAAGATGATTTGATGGACCACATCATTGTATTATAACTTGAAGAAATCCATCTCAACATTAGTCGTCATATACATATAGCACAAAAGATTATGTGAAGGTAGGAAATACACAAGTGCTTTGTAAGCATTTGTTAATAATTTTCTTTCAACTACCAACCAGGCTTAAATTCACTTAGTGTTTGTTTATTTGTATCTTTTCATTGTTATTTATGACCTAAGGCATCCTAGTATGGGACTCCTCAGCGGTGCGTATCCACAGTCCCGCTCAGCGAGATTCTAGGATGAAACAGTCATTCAGTGCTTTCAGATATTCCATGGTGGTCTAGCTTCAATCTTCACAAAATCTCTTTCTCACTATGTATAATCTTTAATCCTTGTCAAAATATTGATAATTCTGTATTGCTATTTACAAAAGTCAATATCTCATACCGATTTCTGATGTCATTAATATAATTGTTTCCATATTGATTAGCCTAGTTTAATTGATAATATCATGTTTTAGAGTGTATTTTTTTGTTGTAATATATTCTACCTTCTTTGATCAAAGTAATAGAGAGATTGTAGCTAATGAGATTAAATTTCTATTGCCTAAAGGTACATTTCAAATCTGGTTACAGAGATATGATGAGATTAGTATTACGTAATAGGTTAGTTATCAACAGATATTCAGTAATCGAACGATTATTCACAAGATTTCACTTCACATTTTTAAGAATGGTTTCCAACGTTTTGAAGGGATAAAACGCGTAACCTTTAAGTGATCAATATATTTAAATCGATCAATCAGTCAGCTACAACGTACAACCAGGCACATATATGCATCGGTCCAGGTTGCCACACCTTATTAGCACAACAAGATGAACCCTGAATTCAAAAAAGTAGTTATAACAATGGTAGTAATGTAGAAAAGAAAGATTATGTATAAGGATATAATACGGGAAGAAAGAATTAGTTGGTAGAAAGAAAGATATAAAGCAATTTTAATCTGATAGTTTAAGGGAAGAAAGAGAGTGTATACACTGACGCCATTGTGATTTATCCTGAGCAATGTCATTCAGAGTCTCCAACCATTAGTTACGATATTCACGCGGACCCCAACCAAGCAGTCTGCATCTACCAACATGGCTCAGATTCTAGGATTTCAGTCAAGGAGGCCTGTTGACCGATTTGACTTGTGGTGCGTACGTTGAAGGCTCCAATGTGTAGTTTGGAGCGAGGGTTCAGTAGATATGGGACAGTGCTCTGCTCACTATAATCGTTGGCCATAGTGACACTTAAGGAGGAAGGCAGCATTGCTGTTATGCTGATTGTCTGAAGGAAACACTTTACTGCCGTCAAACCTCTGTACAATCAACAATATGACTTCGCCATCGCACCTTGGATTTGATGCTTTTAGTCTTATCATTCTTCAACCGACCTGGCTGGCATGGTAGGACCTTGAGAAACGATTGTTCCAGCCAATATAGCTCGACTGGTTCATCACAGCAATCGCTTAATTGATTCGATGATTCGTTCATCTCACTACGTAATACATATATACATTTTGATCCCGTTCATTGACTTTCTCATTCGACTCGCACGCTTACTCGCTCACTTACTTGCCCGCTTGCTTTTCAGAACTACTCTTTCATGTTTGTTTAACGTACCTATGATTTTGGTGATCAGTGCGTGGTGCAATAATAAACGTAATCAACACTTCGTATTCATCTTCTGTTTAATACACTGTTGAGGCGTTATCAATTGACGGTTATTAGGACGAATTGTATACAAAGTTTAGGGATTATATTGAATACCGACGACCACACTATACATTAAATACATTATTTGCACATATTTTATTAGTTCTCCTTTACATACCTCATAATTCATACAATTCTGTTTTTATTCTGTAGGGCCAGTGAAATATCACTGAGCCCTAATCAAATCATCATGCAGTTAAGTCACTGAATATCGATCAGATCATCGATCCTTGTCAAGGTTAAGGACAATCAACGCGCATCAGTTAATCGTACGCCATGGACTGGCCCATGCAACGGTGGTCATACTTTCGCTTGTATCTACTTTAAATAATAAATTTGTGTAATAACGTCCTTTATGTTGTACAGTCTTCAGAGTATCTCTAGTATCTTGATACAGTGATGGGGTAATCCACGTAAGGTGTTGACCGAGAGGTGTGACTTCAACGTTAGTTGATTCGTCATATCATTCCCATCTAACTCTAATCGGCCCATAATCATTTGACATTGATCATCTACATTGGTGATCTATAATTCGAATTTCTCTCTGTTACCCTTTCTATTCGCTTTAATAAGATCTTCTCAGTTTTCCTACTATCAGGCATTCCACTTCTGATACTATTTATATCTATCAACATATAAAACATACAGCACATTATTATTATCAATGTTAATAACAAGCAAACAGACAAAAAAGTGTTTAGTTCTTACCAGAGAGAAGTAAATTAATCCAAACATTGTTGCTATCGCTGAACTAGCTAATTTAGCTAATGTTATTAAAACTTCTGACCATCGAATTAATTCTATTACGTTATTTAATGATTGAATAGTTACTAAACTAGAATTTAATTGTTTCCATGATTTGTAAAATGATTGTTTTTCAATAACTAAATAGAATAGAATTAAAAAAAAATAAGCGAAAAATAATTTTGAAATATTTTGGTTATGAAAAAGGTATTTATATGATATTGTGGTGTGTGCTGAATCCCAGAGTGAACATCAACTCTGAGATGTAGGTATATTCAACTGACGAGTCCCGAATAGGACAAAACGCATGTCATGGATTCCATTGATATCCACTATCTATCTTTGCTTATAATACAACAAATCTGCTAGAACGTTTCAACGATGCCAATCCAAATATCCACTTTAATATATAAAATGAAAATGAAAATAAGTTCCATTTTTTGAGTATCGCAGTAAAACGAAGGAAGGATGACAGAACTCAATGTTCGTTTTATAGGAACGACACCTGGACACCGGTGTGGTGTGTGCTCCTTATACTGACATAAACACTAGGTGATGATAGTCGTGAACAGAATGTCTGGCAGTAGAGAGACAAGAGGATCGAACAGTAATGGACAATGAAGTCTGAGTCATTATGAGACAATTGATGGACATTTTGCAAATTACGTATTTACTATATGATTGTTAGATTTTATTAACAAGTCCTGTAATTTTATGTTAAATACATTCGATTATCTCAACCCATGTTCGGTTCACTACAATATTGCCATTGTGGGTTAGAGTGATTTTATATCGATTTTCAGGAGAACTAGATACCATCCAGATTTTCATGCGTGTTAAGTCCCTGATTGGCGGTCACGAGTTATAACAATTGGCGACAGGTTTTTTAAAATATATATATTTACGATCCAAAGTCAGCTTGTATTTGAACGGAACTCAGTTTAATTATTTCGAGCAATCAGCATCCAGATTTATCATCGGTTTTCCTTTGGAAGACATTGGTTTTTTAATTCATCATACAGTATTTTTTTATTACTGACGCTGATTCAAAAATTGACTCTCTCTTCCGATCGATTACAGATGCTGTCTGAGAGACAGTTGTAGTTCTTGGTCAAATTACGCACACAGCTGCGGAACCACTCATCCTTTGGAGATGTGACGGAAGTTGGTGGATTAATTTCTCAATTGAGCATGGAGCTAGAAAATGATTGCAGCCTTCAGCCAGCATTCTGACATTCTTCCTTTACCAGTATCAGAATTCAAACGACTGTTAATCATGTGTGCAAAAAATGTTCAGTTTCAGTTCGATAATGTCATATACCGACAAACTGATAGTGTAGCAATGAGAAGTCAATTAGGTCATGTTCTAGCAGATATTTACATAGCTAACCTCGAAAAAACCAAGCTCAAAGGAGTGATTGATAAAATGATGTATTATTCAATGTATGTTGAAAATACATTCATTGTAGGTAATAATCAAAGACACACGACAAATCTAATTCACTTGGTATTGTTTTACTTGAATCTTCTCATTGATGTTTAGGACTGAAATTGATCAGCCTCTTATTGGCATATGTGCATACTGTGCGTATTGCCTCGATATTGCATTAATTTAAAAGCATTCTAAGCAAAGATGGATAGTGGCTAGCAGTGGTACTGAGTCCCAGAGTGAACATCAACTCTGAGATGTAGGTATATTCAGCTGACGAGTCCCGAATAGGACGAAACGCGTGTCCTGGATTCCACTACTCTCCACTATTCATCTTTACTTATAATACAACAAATCTGCTTGAACGTTTCAACGAAGCCAATCCAAATATCCACTTTACTATAGAACATGAAAATGAAAATAAGTTCCATTTTTTGAGTATCGCAGTAAAACGAAGGAAGGATGACAGAATTCAACGTTAGGTTTATAGGAAAGACATATGGAATGGGATTTATCTCGATTCCAATAGCTTTTGTTCAATCAGTTACAAAACACTGCTTCTTCACAGAACAGAAAGAATATGTACTGCAGATACAATAGAAGAGGAATCAATCAATGTTAAATAAGAACAACGGATATCCACTGGAATTTATTGAGAAACATACAAAACTCAATAAAACTACAGTCAATAAAAAACGTATTTTTATTTAAATTAAATGCAAAGGCAATGATGTCACAGAGTCAATCAACATGAGACTCTAAACTGCATTAACACGAACGTATCCTGCAGCTAAACTGATTGTCCGGTCCAAACCAGCATGTTCTCTAACATAAGCAATGGTCGATAGGTATACCTTACATGTTACTACCAACCTTGTATATAATTTTTAATGTATCTGCCAAAATAGTTACATCGGTAGAATGGAAATAAGAGCCTACGTCCGGTTAAAATAACATATCGCTAAATGTCTAAGGTCAAGTGGATTAAAAGCATTCAGTAGTGCCATCTCAAGACAATTAGGAACTTCGGAAATAATTGTTAATAACAAAATTACTTCAATAAATCTGGCGCAAACATAAAGATGGGAAGACAAAAGAGGGAAAAACTGAAAATCATCTATGAAATTAACTGTTTCAACTTTGAAAGATCTTATGCCGAACAATTAGCAGCCCTATTCGTATTTGACTTCAAGAATACCATTTAATTGTCAACTGTCCCGACATACATTTACTTGTAAAGATGCATATCGATAACTGTTGACACCGGTTTGATTAGAAAAACAGTTAAATATTGGATTAATGTGCTTGATTTTCAGAATCAACACTAATAGTGGGATGAAAGTGGATCAAGATAACTAGTAACAAATAGAACAAAATCAACTTTTTTGAGTTCCACTGCTAGCTGAAATCAATATTTCCCAATAACCTGCTTAATCTATGGTGGAGTTAGTCTGGAGTTTGATATAATCTTCATTCCAATCTGACTTATCCTCTTAGTTGATTGTCTTCTTCACATGATACTGTCTTGACAGTAGTTAGTAATGAAGCTTCGCTCGACCATTTCCTGCTCCTAAATGTTTCTTCAGTGGATAGAGTTGGGCATCGGTAGAAATATATTTGTGTAGTATAGTGACTTGGTAACTAATAAGTCTACCTTCAAGACTTCTCTGAAGTAACAAAGTTATTATTTGTACAAATGAGCATTTTCAAATATAACAATACAATTATTATCCTATTTACATAAATAGCCAGTAATAGAATTGTATTGTGGTGCGTTCTACTTATATTGACATAAGTAGTATATGATGTTAGTCATGAACTGAAGGTCTGACAGCAGAGAGACAAGAGGATCAAACAGTAAAGAATGGAAACAGAATGCAATTGGTATGAAAGTGCAAGAACAATGAAGTCTGAGTCATTTTGAGACAATTGATGGACACTTTGCAAATTAAGCATTTACTTTATGATTGTTAGATTTTATGAACAAGTCCTGTAATTTTATGTTAAGTACATGCAATTGTCCCAGCCCGTGTTCTGTTCACTACAGTATGATCAAAGTATCAACACCAAATATCTTTGTCTGAACATCAGTTTACGTATATGGTGCATTATATAGACTGTGTAGTTATGCAGTTTCATCAACAATGGGTCAAGATTTAAATAGGTTCAATAAAAACTCTCTGAAATATCACCCTCATATAATCAATCTAATTATGTTTTTAAATTCACTTAGTATTGTATACTTAAATCTTCCGATAGTTATTTAGGACTACAAATGATCAGTCTCTTATTGGCATATATACATCCTGTGTAGATTGCCCCGATATTGCCTAAACTCACAAGCATTACAAGCAAAGGTGAGTAGTGGTTAGCAGTGGGATCAAGAAAGCGCGTTTTGTCCTATTCGGGACACGTCAGCTGGCGATACCTGCATCTCAGATTTGATGTTCACTCCGGTACCTAAGCGAACCCAGCCTTTAAAACGAATGGTACTGGGTTCGAGTCCCAGAGTGAACATCAAATTTGAGATGCAAGTACATCCATCTGACAAGTCCCAAATAGGATGAAACACGCGTCCTAGATTCCAATGCTAACCACTATCCATCTTTGTTTAAATATATTTTTGTTATTCAATACAGTATTATGATTAGATGTATAATTAGATATTTCATTTGGAAATTACTAAATTTAGATAAGTCAATTCCTAGTAACGTGATATACATTGATATACAGGTTTGATTAATTATACAAACTCGTGATGTTATACTAAGACTATCCCTTCCTTATTAAACGATTTAAATATCAAATCTTTACATTAATATAGATAATATACATGATTTTGATTTAGAGCGTTTTTGGAAAGTCATTTAATTCACAGATGGAATTTGTTCAAAATCAACCTCATTTGGGATATCATTCAAATTTTGGGAGCACCAGACTACTGTGTATAGACATAGTGTCGGTTGCTATGTTAAGCCCACATAGCTTATTATAGATTTCAGACAGGCCAATGTATTCATTCTTGTGGAGTCATATTTTGACCTTGCTAATCATTTGCCTATCAATCTTGACTGTTTTTATGTAAGCGTATGTGTGTGTTTGTGCATTTCCTAACTTACTCATTACATATCTGTAACTTATTTTTGTTTGGCTAGAAATATCAATCGACGCTTGATTAAATGGAGTTGGCTCACTCTCCTTCTCCACTGAGCGTCACTTAGTTTCGCTTCTCTCTTTCTTCGTCGCTCCCATCGTTTTAACTCTGATTGTCTGTTTTCAAATCAACTATTGTATGAAATACATAGATTCGAAAGTCATTCTCGTATTTGACTTATTTAATTCCATCATTCACTAACGCGATTTAAGTTGACAATTCTATGCAAGGATTGGAGATATGTATATTTCAATAATAATCATCCTATAATCCAAACGGAGTAAGATCTCGGTCCACTACATAGGATTCCTCATCAATATAGATTCGAGATTACTTACTAACTTAATTACGCCTGTTACTCCTCGTGGAGGAGTATAGGCCGCCTACCAGCACTCTTCATCTAAGATTATTAAATAAACACTACATTTTAAAATAAATGTAACACTACATATTTAATTAATTTGAAAGTCATATTTTAAAAAAATGGGTCATACTAAAATGAGAAATTATTAATATTGGTCACGAACCAAGTACAAATGATGAACAATCGAAGAAGA